GTTCAAGCGATTCTCCTACCTCAGCCTCCTGAGTAGCAGAGATTACAGGAATGCACTACCACAGCCGGCTAATTTTTGTATTTTTAGTAGAGACAAGGTTTCTCCATGTTGGCCAGACCGGTCTTAAACTCCGGCCTCAGATGTGATCCACCCGCCTTGGCCTCCCAGAGTGCTGGGATTACAGGTGTGCGCTACCAAGCCCGGCCAGACACTGTCTTAAAAAAAATAAAAATAAGAAAAGGAACTGGACGGGTGGCTGGTGATGTGGGGCTTGCTGGGTAAGGGGTGGCCTTGGGCTTATACTTGGAGCAAGACAGGAGCCCTGGTGGGGCCATGATCAGAAGTGGGTTTTAACACAATTCCGATGGGTTAGACCCGGGCTTGGAACCTATTGGTCTCTACCACTGCCAGCTGCCACTCAGACCCTTGGCCCCTGCCTGTCTGTGCTCAGGATGGGGCCCATCCCAGGCACCCCAAGAACAGACAGCAGCGGCTTGCTCTGGTGGTGTGAGGATGGGGGTCTCCAGGGGAGCAAATCCACAGTAACACGCTGGGCTTCTCCCAGATGGGCTGCAGACGGCTCTTGGTGAGTCTCTGTTGACCGGCTGGTTCAGGCCAAAGGACCTCGCCACGGAGCTCGGCGGCCACCCCTAATCCCGGCTGAAATCCTCTGGCTCCGGATGCCCGGCGGGGCTCCAAGTCTCCTGGGCCCACGCCAGGCCCCGGCCTGAAACACGCTGGAGGGGCAGGGCGCTGGGCTCGTTTGGATTTGGGGAAAGGAGAATTGTCATGTCTTCTCCCTCCGTAGGTTGCTGCCAATGAAAAACTCCCTTTTCAGTATGGACGAAATCCCGCTAAGTCTATTTAGAGAGCAGCGTGGACTCCGGGCTGGGAACTGCGCCAGCCGGATGCCCACCGTCTGAGGCTTTCAACCACAGCCCCGTTTGGGTTCCAGGTGTGGAGGGCTGGGGTCATCCCCTCACCCTGGGGTGGCTCCCAAGCTGCTGACCTGGCCTCCCTGACGGGCATCCCTACAGCTCTGTCCAGCTCTTCATGCGATCAGCGCTCCCGGGAACATATACTTTGGGGTGTTTTCTGATGCTGGGATGGTGGCCCGCGAGGCAGGGAACCTCCTGGTGACCCTGCTGGGCCCGGCCCTGTTTCCCCAGCCGTAGGGTGGCAGCCTCGAACTATACAAGGTCCAGGCCACAGTTTCCTTAGCTGTAGGTCGGTGGGCTGTGCACTGTACGGGGCTTGGGCCTCAGTTTCCCCAGCTGTAAGTGGGCGGCCGTGGACTGTGTGTGGCTTGGGCCTCAGTCTCCCTAGCTGTAGGTGGGCGGCCTCGGAATGTACAGGGCCTGGGCCTCAGTTTCCCCAGCTGTAGGCGGGGAGGCCATCGACTGTGTGTGGCCCGGACCTCAGTTTCCCCAGCTTTAGGCCGTTGGCGGCGGACTGTACAAGGTCCAGGCCTCAGTTTTCCCAGCTGTAGGCGGGCGGCCGCCCACTGTTCAAGGTCCAGGCCTCAGTTTCCCCAGCTGCAGGCTGGCGGCCGCGGACTGTGCGGGGCCCGGGACTCAGTTTCCCTATCCCCGCAGTCGGGCTTCGCTGTTCCGGGCGAACAAAGGACGGTCGGGGGTGACCCTGAATCATGGCGCGTCCGCAGTCTCTGTGGCCACTGTGGAAACAGCCCTGGCGAGTCCGGGACGCGACGCGGCCTTTCCCTCCCCGCGCGATCACCCAGACGTGAACGCTCAGTTTGAATCGGACTTTTTGGCCATGTGCCCACAAGCAACATGGAGCCCTGCGGGTCTCCTGCCCGACTCCAAGATGGCGACGCGACTCCCTTTGCCCTCATGGCCCAGACGGGCGGGTCCTGCCCACTTGCAAGATGGCGGCAGCCTGGGCCAAGCACGCTTCCCTCCGCCTGACTCGCCACGTACCCAATCTCAAGATGGCGTCTCCCGCAAAGCCACGCGCCAGACGGCGGCTTGCTCACTGGCTCACACGCCGTCACGTGCTCCCACTTTCTCTCCCTCCCCCGACTCCATAGGCCGTTTCCGCCTTCGGCCTTGACGAATGACCGCCTCCGCCAATAGGCGCCTTCGATTCCTCTGGGTCCCGCCCCCGGGAGACCTTCTGGCCAGTGGGAGCCGCTGGCGGGGGCCCGCGGGGCTCTCCCCGCCCCTGGGCTGCGGCGAGAGCCAATGGGCAGCGCGCGCGGGGGACGTGTGCGGGCGTCTCCGCCATTTTGTGAGTCTATAACTCGGAGCCGTTGGGTCGGTTCCTGCTATTCCGGCGCCTCCACTCCGTCCCCCGCGGGTCTGCTCTGTGTGCCATGGACGGGTGAGTCGCACCTCGCCCCGCGCCCCGCCGCCCTCCCCGCGCTGCAGCCCTGCCCCCGCCGCCGCGCCGGCCTCCCCGGCGCCGATCTCGCCGCCGCCCGGGCGGGAGGGGGCGGCGGGCTCTCCCCTTCCTCTCCGCGTGGCGGGCGCGGGCTATGGGCGGGCCAGGGGTTTCCCGGGGGTCTGGCCGCGTCCCCGTTCCCGTCCCCAGCCCGGCCCGCTTCCGGCCCCCGCGCGCCCCGTCCCGAGCGCACGCGGCCTCCCGCGCCCCTCCCCCTCTGCGCGCGGCCCCGCACTTCGCCTTTGCCCCGCCTCGGCGGCGCGCGGCCCTTCCCGCTTCCCGTCCGGCCCTTGCGCGCCCGCCCGGATGGCCCTTCCCGCCTCCCGTCCGCGCTCCTCGTGCGCCTGCGTAGCCCGTCGCGCGTCCCCGTTGGCCCCAGCGCGCGTGCGCGGCTGCCGTCGGGGGCGCGCGCCTTTCCCGCCGCCCGGACTCTGCCCCCGGCGCAGCCCCGGAAGCGCAGGCGGGGCTGGAGCGGCCGCCGGGAGGGAAAGCCGGCGCCGGGGCCTCACCGCGGGCTGGAGGCTCTGCGCTCCCCGCCGTGCGCCCCGGGCCGTGGCCAAGGGTTTCGGCGATCTCAGGAGAGAGGCGGCCGCCCCGGGGTCGGAGGGTCCTCTCCAGGGACCCCCGCGGGCGCCGTCATGGGGAGGGCCTTCCGGGCTCTCTGGCCGCGGCAGCCTTTCCGGGCGGCTTTGCGGGGCGGGCTTCCCCTGGGAGGGGTGGGAGCCCCTCCAGAAAGGCCGTGTCCCGCCGAGCGCTTCCTGCGCGAGGCCCTCCCTGGGAATAGGAAGCGGGAGAGGCGGGAGATGCTTCGCATTCTTTCCGTTTTCCTGAGAAGTTTTTCTTGGGCCCAGTTACATTTGAAAGTCTGTTAGGACGTGCTCCGTGCAGTCCGTGGTGCCACAGCGAAGAGGCGCGGCCCCAGAGTGGGTCTGGAGCCCTTGGCATGCGTCGGGGCAGGTGGGTCCTGCAGACGGCGAGCCGGGGCCCCCCGCTCTCGTCCCGGCGCCGCGGGCTTGGGGCCGCGCACTCGCCTCCCGGAGTGAGGCAGGTCCGGGGGCTGCGCTTCCTTCCGACGCGCGCTCCGAGTCACTGGGGCCCCCGCCCGGAGTTGCAGTGGCCCCGTAGGCGCCGTGGGGAGCTCCCTGTTGGGTCGGGAGCTGGCCGGGGCTGAAGGGGGGCCTCGGGCCGCCCAGCTTTCTTCCCACCTTCCCCCCGGGGTGTCCCGAGGAGGGAGAGTCGGGTCGGGCAGGGCTCGGGTTGATCAGTAACCGAGGCTGTGTTCTGGTCGGTCTGTTAATTTTTATTTTTATTGACGGTTTCTGCGGCCGCCACCCGCCCTCGGTAGATGGGGCTCCACTCTGACGAGAGGCGCTCTCTTGGGGGGCCACCCCCATCCGGGCGGAAGCTCTGGCCCAGGCCTGGGAGTTTGCCGGCTTCAGCCTTTCTCAGGCGTTTCCAACTTTCTGGAAAGCACACAGCGGCCCTCGAACCCTCTCAGCGGCGTCTAGCATGCTCGGGGCTTCCGAGGGGCGTGTCTTTGTCTTGGGACTTGTGGAGCCTGGTCCAGAGGTGGGGCCTGGGGTCCTGCTGGGAGGGAGGGGCGCCGCAGGACAATGGTGGCCCCTTTTCAAGTTGCAGTCAAGTGGACGGCTCACTTCCCTGCCCTTCTGAGCTTTCTCTAGCGGGGCCTCGCGCAGTCAGAGGGAGCCCCGCGGAGGTGGCGGCTGCAGGGTCCTGCGGGCTCTCCTGGCCCCGGGACAGCCGGGCGCGCCTGCTGCTGAGCGGCCACCGGGCTAACGTTGTCTCCTTTCTCTCTCTCTACAGCATTGTCCCAGATATAGCCGTTGGTACAAAGGTAGGCACTTCTCACTTTGCTTCTCCGTGGCGCTCCTCTGACCTTGTGCCGACCCCGGGGGCCACCCCCCAGCGCTGCTGCGTTGGCTGGAGAGCGCCTTGCTCTTCCGAAGGGGTACCTTTGTATTCCTAAGGGGCACACTACCCTTGGTCTGGAATCTGGAGTTGGGTGGGAGGGTTCCAGCCCCGGCTCCAGTGCCCCGTGCGTTTTGGGGGGGGTTTGGGTTTGCTGGCCGCCCCTCAGGTCTGGAATCTGAGTCGCTCTTCAGTTCTTGCTCTCAGCAGCGAGGGCTCTGCGTGCCCCAGACCTGGGTTTGGGACCTCTCCTGTCCCTGGAGGCTGGAAGAGGCTGTTAAGTGGGATACCTCGTGTTGTAGCTGCCAGAGAGACTCTTGGTTTGGATCAGAAAAGAGTCACCTGGCTGTGGAGGGACCTGGGCAGACCCCAGTGTGTGTGAGCGGCTGGAGTGGGCATTTACTGGTTGCTTTTGACATTAAGTTGTTTTCTTTTTTGAGATGGGGTCTTGTTTTGTCACCAGGCAGGAGTGTAGGGTGCGATCTTGGCTCACTGCAATCTCCACTTCCTGGGTTCAAGCGATTCTCCTGCCTCTGCCTCCTGAGTAGCCGGGGTTACAGGTGCCCACCACCATGCCCGGCTAATTTTTGTGTGTATATATATGTTTTTAAACAAACACGGAGTTTCACCATGTTGGCCAGGCTGGTCTGGAACTCCTGATCTCAGGTGATCCACTGCCCTCAGCCTCCCAAAGTGCTGGGATTACAGTTGTGAGCCACCAGGCCCTGCTGACATTAAGTGTCTTTTGATGGCATCTGGTCAGAACGACAGTAAACTGTCAAAGATGGCGTTTGGGGCAAGAGAAAAATGAATGTGCCAGATCTCACGTGTGTGTGAATCTTGCAGCCAGGGCTGGAAGGCAGGGGCACTGCTTCCCCGTGGAGGGTGAGGAAAGGGGGTGAGAACCTGGAGAGTAAGGCCCTGGGGAGGCCAGCGATTCTGAGGGAGCTGTGGTCCTCACTTAGCTGGGGTGGGTGGTTGGTGAATGATTGTGCTGGTCATTGTGGGTTGAGGGGCTCCCGACTTCAGGGCTTGTTCCCCGAGGGCCTCCTGCAGGGTGAGCCCACAGCGGTGGGGCCAGAGCCCTCTGGTTTCTGGTCAGTCAGCGGTGGGGCCTGGGCCAGGTTTCGGTTTTTCCCAAGTGGACTGCTGTCTTTACAGGCGGCCTGGCCCGATCTTCCTGGAGATAAAACCTGTTTGTTCAGTGTGGGAGGAGGGAGAGGGACTTTCATCTGAAGCATTTGCAGCAGTCCCTGGATGTGTCTGGCCTGCAGGCAGTCCTCTCTTCCTTGCTTCTGTGAGGCTGCGTTCCAGCTGGAGTGGCCCTCAGCTTCCATCAGGTGGTCCTGCAGCCCTTCTCTGCAGTTCCCAGGGGGCTCGATGGCTGGGACACGGAAGCTAAGCCAGGGCAGGATGGAAGCCCGCGGGCTCTGGTGCAGGGAGGGATTTTGCCAAGGGGCGGTGTCAGGGCCCCTGCTGGGTGCAGGCCCTGGTAGGAGGATGGGGTGGTACCCTGACCCGGGTGATCGCCCTCCTGCACCAGGGAACCCTCAGCTGACCTGGGCCCACACCTGGCCACGTTGTCCTTTATCCCCGGATAGAGCACCTCCTGTTCAGTGTGGGGTTGAAGACACCTGCGACCCGTGCCGCAGGGTCCCAGCTGCAGACTGGGAGGGCTTGGGGCGTTTCCTGTCAGTCCGTGTGCTTCAGGACAGGTGCCTTGAAGGGACCCTCCTGGGGTGTCTGGCGGCTGCAGTGAAGGAAGTGGAGGTGCTCAGCCCAGCTTGTGTCTCCTGGTTGCTGCCCTGTGGAGCCTCAGAGCCTCCAGGTGTCCCTTTCGTTCTACTGGGGCGCTGCTGAGCTGAGCCAAGCCGGCCTGTGCCGCCCGGGCAGGCGTGGAGTTTGCTGCCACAGACGGTTGTGGGCATGCCAGGCCACTTGCCCATGGGAATGAGATGAGGGCTTCAGGCAGGCGGCCAAGAAGACTGCTCATAGGAAACGGCACCGCCCACCACTCCAGTCAGAGACAGGGTCCAAGATGCCCTTTTTAAGGTTTGTGCAGCTAGCACATGGGAGCCGCATGGGCGCCTGGCCGCTGTCCAGCTCGGGGGAGGACCAGCCCTGGTGTCCTAGATGGTTGGCTTCTGGGCTCCCCCAGCCTCTGGGCTGGAGGGGAGAGGAGACAGGAAACGACTTCCTGTGGGGGGTGGGGGGCGGGGGACAGAGGCTGGAGGCTCTGTGTCTCTGTGTCTCTGCATCTCAGGTGCACGTTGCCTCACGTCCTCCTGTCCTGGCACTCCTGTGTTTTCCGATCCCGTGGTTTCCACCTGAGGCTGCTGACTGTTTGCCCTGGGCCTGTGCAGCCCCGCCCTGTGCTCACAGAGGGCCCTGGACTCTGGAAGTAAAAAGATGACTCGAGGGTCTGTTTTCAGCATTTGACTTCATTTGCCTGTGGCCGGAACCTCAGCCGCCCTGGTGGTGGACACTTCTGTTCATTCTTTGATCTTAAAGTCTTGGGGACTGACAGGTGGCATTTGGGTGGGCGCCAGGCCTGTGGAGCCTGAGCGATTCCTGGTTCTAGCCCTGGTGGCTTCTCGACTGCTTGTTTGGTGACGCCCTGGGTGCTTGCGGGGTTGGCCTGGGGGCTCGAGGCTGCAGTTAGAGGTCTCAGTGGCAGGGGCAGTCCCTGTTCCCTGTCCTGGAGCAGGTGCTGGAGTCTCATGTGGGGAGGCTTTGGAGGCCGGCCTGCCTTCCTGCCTTCCTTCCTTCCTGCCTTCCTTCCTTCCTGCCTTCCTTCCTTCCTTCCTTCCTTCCCTCCTTCCTTCCTTCCCTCCTTCCTTCCTGGAAGCTTTACAGCCAGGGCCAGCAGAGGGCCCCGGTTGAGGTCAGGGCAGGAGTGGAGCTGAACGTGGGTGGAGGGGAGGCGGCCTTAAGGGAAGACCATCCAAGCGCAGGCTCAGGGAGGCCAGTGTTGGTGGGGGCTCTTTGACCAGGCATGGGGGCGCATGGAGCTGGGGGCTGTCTGAGGGGGGACAGGGCGTGACATCCACTGGTTCCTTCTGATGCGATGGCCCTGGGCCCCTCAGTAGGTGGGGCAGGCTCTTGGCCTCACTCCTGATATGGGAGATGGAGGCTCCTTCTTTGTTCCCTGGGATGGCTCTGTCCTGGGGGCCTGGGCACTGCCCTGGGGGCCTGCAGAGTCCGGCTTTGCAGACCAAGTGCCTGTGCTCCAAGGTCCTCAGACCCGAGCTTTGTTTTCTGTGTAACTAAGGGCCGTAACTAACGTCTCCTCCAATTTCACTCTGAATAAACGTGTGTCTTCAGTCCTTGCGTGGGGGGGGCCGTCTGCCGTTCTGAGCCTAGGATCAGTGTAGTGTAATTCTTCCTAGAAGTTGATTCAGTTACATAGAAATAACGAGTGAATAGATTGTTTCTGGAGAGAAAATGGACAGGTAGAAATGATGGGGCTGCTGTAGAGCTCCCCTGGCCCCAGTCACGGCCGTGGTAGCAGCAGATCACTGCGCAGGGAGGCCGTGTCTCTGGTCCTCAGTCTCGAGTGTGCGGAGACGGAGGTCGGTCGGGTTTCCCTCACGGGGCTGGAAAACAGAAGAGGAGGGGCTTCCGCGAGAGCGAGCGAGGCGGTGCTAGAGTTTGGTTCTCCTGCGAGGCCACCAGCAGTGAGGTCAGCTGCCGGGGCCCTGCCGTGTGCTGCTGGGGAGGCTGGTTCCATGGAGCGGGCCCCCTGCCCTGCTGGCTGGTGGCTGAGGCCCAGGCCTGCGCCCAGGGCGGCCGGCAGCACAGTGAGGCCGCGTCCACAGCAGAGTTGGCCGTGGAGATAGTATACGCGGTGCCCTCCGTCTCTGAGACCTCCCAGCGCCACGCTGGCTGAGTACCCCAGGGCTTCCAGAGCTTGGAAAAAGGAGCAGTGTCTTGGTTGTGGAACTGTGGGGTGCTGTGCGCGTCCATGGGCTGTGGGGGTGTTTCTGGAGACAGGCCTGGGTCTGTGCTCCGGCTGCCCTGCCGTGGAAGTGTGGGTGTGGGTGTGGGTTGGGGGTCTGGGACCCCAGGCAGCCCGAGTGGGAGCTGGGCGGCTGGTGGGGAAGGGAGGCCCTGGCCTGGCGGGAAGTGCAGCTCAGCGTTGTCCCTTCTCTTGCAGCGGGGATCTGACGAGCTTTTCTCTACTTGTGTCACTAACGGACCGTTTATCATGAGCAGCAGCAACTCGGCAGGTAAGGCCTGGACTTAGCCCAGGGCGAGGTCTGCGGGTGTCTTTTCCTGGAACAACCCTGGAACTCTCCTTTTCATCTCAAATGGCGGGGCCCACGGTCCACGCTGCAGGTCCAGGTCCCAGTTCTTGGTACAGAGAATTCCTGGGGAGGTGCTGGATGGGTGGTCCAGGCCGGCACTTGGACCTGTGGGCGGGTTGTCAGCAGCTGTCAGGAGCAGGGGTCCCGACCGTGCAGGCCTTGGCCTCGTGCTGCTGGTTCACGTGCACCCTCCTGGGGCTCAGGGCTGGTCACCGTAGCAGGCAGGGCTCTAGGCAGAGAGCAGGGACCCGGCCCTGTGGGCTTCTACGTGTTGATGCGTCTCCCGGCACCCCCTTTCCAGCAAACGGAAATGACAGCAAAAAGTTCAAAGGTGACAGCAGAAGCGCCGGCGTCCCCTCCAGAGTGATCCACATCCGGAAGCTCCCCATCGACGTCACGGAAGGAGAGGTCATCTCCCTGGGGCTGCCCTTCGGGAAGGTCACCAACCTCCTGATGCTGAAGGGGAAAAACCAGGTATCTGAGCCGCGCTTCTCGGGGCGCTGCACCGCGCAGGCGGGGAGGAGGAGGGCCCGGCACTCACTGCCTCCCCCACAGGCCTTCATCGAGATGAACACGGAGGAGGCTGCCAACACCATGGTGAACTACTACACGTCGGTGACGCCAGTGCTGCGCGGCCAGCCCATCTACATCCAGTTCTCCAACCACAAGGAGCTGAAGACCGACAGCTCTCCCAACCAGGCGGTGCGTGGCCCTGCAGCGGACCCCAGCAGCCCGGGGACCTCGGGGGTGGGGGGGCCCGGCCTCAGGGGCCGGGGACTCACGGCAATGCCTCCCACAGCGGGCCCAGGCGGCCCTGCAGGCTGTGAACTCGGTCCAGTCGGGGAACCTGGCCTTGGCTGCCTCGGCGGCGGCGGTGGACGCAGGAATGGCGATGGCTGGGCAGAGCCCCGTGCTCAGGATCATCGTGGAGAACCTCTTCTACCCCGTGACCCTGGATGTGCTGCACCAGGTGAGGTGGTCCCATCACTGCCGGGGCCGCACGGGCTCAGTCAGGCTGCTGTTGCTGTGGGCGCAGGCCCACGGGAGGGGTCTGGCAGGGCTGGTGGGCGCCGGGCAGGAGCTCATGCTGTGGCCTGGGACCTGCAGATTTTTTCCAAGTTCGGCACAGTGTTGAAGATCATCACCTTCACCAAGAACAACCAGTTCCAGGCCCTGCTGCAGTACGCGGACCCTGTGAGCGCCCAGCACGCCAAGCTGGTGAGTGGGGCTCCCAGGATGGCACCTGCCCTGGCCCTGGCCCTGGCCTGGCTGCATCTCATGCTGCCTCTCCCCTCAGTCGCTGGACGGGCAGAACATCTACAATGCCTGCTGCACGCTGCGCATCGACTTTTCCAAGCTCACCAGCCTCAATGTCAAGTACAACAATGACAAAAGCCGCGACTACACGCGCCCAGACCTGCCCTCCGGGGACAGCCAGCCCTCCCTGGACCAGACCATGGCCGCGGCCTTCGGTAAGAGGCTGCCCGACGTGGCGCCAGTGTGCAGAGTGGTCTGTGAGGGCCGCTCAGTCCGGAACCCCAGCGGCACGGGCCTGGCCCTGCACCAGGGTGATGCGCCTGCTGCTCTCTGCACGGCCAGCACAGCACAGTCCGGTGCCCCCCACGTCGGGACCACGGCCCCCCTAGAGCAGCGGATCTGCCCGCGAAGGCTCTATTGGGGCCGCCCGCCAGCCGGGTTGGGGCCCATCCCACAGCACAGCGCCCGCTCGCGGTGGAGGTTGTGGGTGCGATGATTAGTGTCTCATTTATTTCTAGGTGCACCTGGTATAATCTCAGCCTCTCCGTATGCAGGAGCTGGTTTCCCTCCCACCTTTGCCATTCCTCAAGCTGCAGGTATTCAAACGCTTGGTCTTGGTTCCCCGGCGACTGCATGCCCACACCACCTTCCCAGGCAGCTCCGCATCCACGGCGGCAGCCTGGGCGGACTGGGCACTCGAGTGCCAGGTCAGGGGCCCTTTCCGGGAGAGGGGACGCCACGTCCACAGAGCAGGCTTGGCCAGGGCAGTGGTAGGACAGGGCAGTGGAGGCGCACGTGTGGATGGCGCCAGCCGGAAGCCACTAACCGCACAGTCTTTGTGGTCTGGTTCCCTTCAAGCACCTCCGGGCGAGCGCGAGGACCGCCAGTGGTTGGAGGGATGTGTCCCTAGTAGTTGAATTTGAGTGGCCGGGTAAGCGCGTGGCCCGAGGCTGCGGAGCATGACCGGCGGCGGGACGTGTGTGCGTGGCCGTCCTCCTGCTTCCCTTCTGGGACCGGGACCGGGCCGCCGAGTGCTGGCCGTGGACGGAGCAGCGCGTGCCGCCCCGCGGCCGCCTTGTCTGCATGGAGGCATGGGCACGCATGCGCGGTGGTCCCGGGACAGGCCCTGCTTGCCGAGGGCCCCGTGTCTGTGCTGGCGGAGCCGGAGCTTTTCTGTGCTGTGGGCGCATGCAGATGAGTCCAAGCCCCGCACGGCCCGTGCTGTGAGGAGAGGCGGGCGCTGGTGCAGGAGCCAGCGGGTGGCTGTGCGGGGGTCGGGCGACCCCACAGGCACCCGGGGTAGGGCCAGAGCCAGGGCCGCCTCCCGCGCGGCTCCTCGGTGCATGAGGACGGGGAGCGTCGGCCTCTCCCACGCTGCGGTGGACTGGGGGTGCCGCTGCTCATCTTACCTCCTACCTTTCCAGGCCTTTCCGTTCCCAACGTCCATGGAGCCCTGGCCCCCCTGGCTATCCCCTCGGCGGCGGCGGCAGCTGCAGCGGCAGGCCGGATCGCCATCCCGGGCCTGGCAGGGGCAGGAAATTCTGTATTGCTGGTCAGCAACCTCAACCCGGAGGTACGTGGCTTCGCCGCGCCGTTCCTCCCGGAAAAGCGAGCAGGGGATGTTGTGCTCGGTCTTGGGTCCCGGAGCGGCGCCGCTCCCCGCTGTGTCTGCGCCTCTGCCCCGGCAGCTCCTCTGCTGCAGCGCTGAGACCCTCCTCTCCCAAGATGGCTTGAGTTTTCCTGTTTTCCTGAATTCACATCTTGGTTTACGTTTTCATTTCCATGATATGCAGAATGAATTGTTTTTCGTTACCCAAAGGCAATGTAAAAATTACTCGGAACTGAGCAGGGCGTGCAGTTCCGAGCCGCAGCAGGCCGCCCTGCTGGTCCCCGGGACACAGGGTTAGTGCGGCAGGGTGTGGGCGGCCCCTGTGGCACCAGAGCCTGTCACTTAATTAGCTGGTGGACTGTTATTTCTCAGAATGGTTAAATCCCCCTCGGGGAGAGCTTGGGTAAAAGTAGAGGCTCAAAATACGGAACTTGATGGATGGGATCCCCTGGAATCAGTATTTCAGGCTGTTCTGTTACTCGGCAATTCCTGTGATTTCCTCAAGGTGGTGCCCACCCTGGCCCTCCCTCGCGGGGCACAGGGCGCACTCCCTGCCTCTGCCTCTTACCACGAGCCCGGTGCTGTCCCTCCAGCTCCTGAGCCAGGGGACCCACGGCGAGGCCGTGCACTAACAGACTCAATCTGCCTTCACGCCTGTGTCATCGTCCTTAGAGACTGACGTGCCACACCCGTGCGAGACAGCACTGCTGCAGGGCTTGGCTGAGGTGGCCGGGAGCGGAGCTGCACCCGCGCTCCTGGGGGGTGTGGTGGGGATCAGCCTCTGGGCGCCCTCCAGCAGTGCTGTCTCTGCCGGCATGTGAGTGAAGGTGCTTTTCTCACCGTGTGCCCCTCGGTAAACCTGTAACTGGAATGTGTGTGGAGTGTGACTGATAGAACACTACCTGATTTTCTTATGTATTTACTGACCTGTGTTTTTTTGCTACTTTTTTTCTTTTCTCCCCTTCCCCTTTCCCAATTTTTTTTCTTGCCCTGATCCGGAATTTCTTTGCCAACTGACTGCACGGTACTTCTGCTTCCTGTTGTTGCTTGAAACAAAACAAAAACATAAACAAATAAAAAACAAAAATTCCCCCTCAAACCCTGCTCTCCGGAAACCAACCTGCCCTTGAATATTAACATCCTGACAACTTCATCATCCATCAACCACTGCACGCCTGCGGGGACTGTCTTCCTCGTGTGGACGATTGGCAACTCGCCCCCCTTGACCTCTCCCTCTCCCCTGTCCCTCCGCTGCCTTGCTCTGCTGTCTCTAAAGAGAGTCACACCCCAAAGCCTCTTTATTCTTTTCGGTATGTTATCATTCACACTTTTATTACCTTGTTTTCATTTAATTGAGATGATTTTGATGCCCTGAGACGTATTATGAGTTTGCGGTTTGGCACTCTGATGCTCCGTGGCATCGGCCTCGTTTTATGGTTTGCTTTCGGTTTGCCTATTTTATTTGGTCCCGTAGATACGTACGCATGGTTTATCGCCCTGCATGCTTTTCAGAGTTAGACCTGTCGGTGGCATATGCTACCGTGGCCACCTGCTGGCAGCTTACCTGTCCTGGATGCTATGACTTTGCTGAACGGAGCTGCTCCTGTTAGCGCGCCCTGTGGCTGCGAGACGCAGCTCCGCAGTGGCCGATAAAGCAAACCCGGCCGGGCTGAGCCGGGCCTTGTGGGGGGTGGGTGCGGGGTTGGGGCTGACGGGGAGATGGGCGGGGCGGGCGGCAGGCGACTCAGGCCCTGTCCCTGGGCTTTTGAAGGCGTCTACGGCGACGTGCAGCGCGTGAAGATCCTGTTCAATAAGAAGGAGAACGCCCTGGTGCAGATGGCGGACGGCAACCAGGCCCAGCTGGGTAAGAGGCCGGGCCGGCCCTGGGGGCGGTGGGGGCAGGGGCTGCCTTCCCTCTCGGGCGCCTGGTCACACGGGTGCTGCTGTCCCCAGCCATGAGCCACCTGAATGGGCACAAACTGCACGGGAAGCCCATCCGCATCACACTGTCAAAGCACCAGAACGTGCAGCTGCCCCGCGAGGGCCAGGAGGACCAGGGCCTGACCAAGGACTATGGCAACTCACCCCTGCACCGCTTCAAGAAGCCGGGCTCCAAGAACTTCCAGAACATATTCCCGCCCTCAGCCACGCTGCACCTCTCCAACATCCCGTGAGTGCTGGCGGGGGTCGGGCACGGGGCCGGGCCAGGACTCTGCGTGGCTGTCCTGCCGCGTCGGCCTGTGAACTGCAATTTCCAGAGTGCAGGTCGGACACCTCTTAGCCCAAACCTGAAGTACGGCGAGGCCTGAAGCTTGAGCCGGGGGATGCTCGAGGGAGGGATCGTTGGACTTGGAAGGGTTTGGTTTTTTGGCTTAGGGGACGCTCCGCTGTGAGAATGTAGAATGCACGCATTTATGTATTTTTATTTTTTGAGATGGAGTCGTGCTCTGTTGTCCTGACTGGAGTACAGTGGAAGGATCTCGGTTCACTGCATCCTCTGCCTCTTGGGTTCAAAGCGATTGTCCTGCCTCAGCTTCCGGAGTAGCTGGGACTACAGGCGCCCACCCCCACGCCTGGCTAATTTTCTTATTTTTAGTAGAGACGGGGGTTTCACCATATTGGCCAGGCTGGTCTCCAACTCCTGACCTCATGATCTGCCCGCCTCGGCCTCCCAAAATGCTGGGGTTACAGGCGTGAGCCACTGTGCCTGGCCATGTTTATTTAATCTTTTTTGAGATGGAGTCTGGCTCTGTCGCCCAGGCTGGAGTACAGTGGCACAATCTTGGCTCACTGCAAGCTCCGCCTCCCGGGTTCACGCCATTCTCCTGCCTCAGCCTCCTGAGTAGCTGGGACTAGAGGCGCCACCACCACGCCCGGCTAGTTTTTTGTATTTTTTTAGTAGAGACGGGGTTTCTCCGTGTTAGCCAGGATGGTCTCGATCTCCTGACCTCATGATCCACCTCCCTCGGCCTCCCAAAGTGCTAGGATTACAGGTGGGAGCCACCACCCCCGGGATAATGCACACCTTTATAATCCCAGCGCTATGTGGGGCCAGGCAGGGGATCTTCTTGAACCCAAGACCAGCCTGAGCAATAAAGTGAGATTCCCGTCTCTACCAGAAAAATTGGTTAAAATTAGGCAAGAGTGGTGGTGTGCACCTCAGGGCCCAGCTCCTTGGGATTTGGAGGCTGAGGTGGGAGGTTCACTTTGAGCTCAGGGGTTTGAGGTTGCAGTGAGCTGTGATTGCCACACTCCAGGCTGGGCAACAGAGTGAGACCCTGTTTCAAAAAAATACATAATGCAAATATTTGGAAATGCAGGTACATCTGGCCCCAAGTATGTCAACCTATAGTAAGCCCTTTGATATTTAACACATTACTTGTGAAACGTTTATTAGAAAGTCAACAAGGGGCCTGGCAGAGTGGCTCACGCCTGTGATTCCAGCACTTTAGGAGGCTGAGGTAGGCAGATTGCCTGAGGTCAGGAGTTCGAGACCAGCCTGGCCAACCTGGTGAAACCCCATCTTTACTAAAAATAAAAATTTAGCCTGGCATGGTGCCGTGCACCTGTAATCCCAGCTGCATGGGAGGCTCAGGCAGGAGAATCACTTGAACCCGGGAGGCGGAGGTTGTAAGCCAAGATCACACCACTGCAGTCCAGCCTGGGTGACAAAGCAAGACTCTGTCTCTAAACAAAAAAAAAGGGGGAGCAGCATGGTACTCTGCTTCTACAAACCTGTGGATGCCTGGTTTCATTAGAAGCTGCTTCAGACCATTGTGGGCATGATTCGATGTCCCATTTCTGGGCTCCTAAAAGGCCCTACACCTTCCCTGGCCACTCAGTAAACTAGTGTGGGGAGAGCCTCGCTGACCTTATTGGACGTCCCCCTACCCAGCCCCAGGCTAACACCTTTCTCCTCCCACAGACCCTCCGTCTCCGAGGAGGATCTCAAGGTTCTGTTCTCCAGCAATGGGGGCGTCGTCAAAGGATTCAAGTTCTTCCAGTGAGTATGAGGCGGACGGTGCCTGGCTCTCCCCGGGCTGCCCTGTGGCCGGCCCTGACCCCATGTCTTGCAGGAAGGACCGCAAGATGGCACTGATCCAGATGGGCTCTGTGGAGGAGGCGGTCCAGGCCCTCATTGACCTGCACAACCATGACCTCGGGGAGAACCACCACCTGCGGGTCTCCTTCTCCAAGTCCACCATCTAGGGGCACAGGCCCCCTTGGCCGGGCCCGCTGGCGACAACTTCCATCATTCCAGAAAAAAGCCACTTTAAAAAGCAGCTGAAGTGACCTTAACAGACCAGAGATTTTATTTTTTTAAAGAGAAATCAGTTTACCTGTTTTTAAAAAAATTAAATCTAGTTCACCTTGCTAACCCTGCGGTGACGGGGACAGCTCAGGCTCTTGGTGACTGTGGCAGCGGGAGTTCCCAGCCGTCCACACCCGGGGCCAGACCCTCAGGGCCGTGCCTTGGTGGGGCCTGCAGGTGGGTGCCCCGACCACAACTCGGCTTCCTTGTGCCTTAAAAACCCTGCCTTCCTGCAGCCACACACCCCCGGGGTGTCCTGGGGAGCCAAAGGGCGGGGGTCACACCAGAGAAAGGCAGGGGGCCTGGCTGGCTCCTGCAGGATCATGTACCTGGGGCTCCCCGGCCGAGGCTGCGACTCCCCAACCCCAGCCCTCTAATCAAGTCATGTGATTCCCCCGCCCTGCCCCCAGGGCCTTCCCTGCTGCCCCGGGGCGGGCTCCCCACTGCTCCAGCTGCGGAGCTGGTCGTCATAATCTCTGTATTATATACTTTGCAGTTGCAGACGTCTGTGCCTAGCAATATTTCCAGTTGACCAAATATTCTAATCTTTTTTTCATTTATATGCAAAAGAAATAGTTTTAAGTAACTTTTTATAGCAAGATGATACAATGGTATGAGTGTAATCTAAACTTCCTTGTGGTATTACCTTGTATGCTGTTACTTTTATTTTATTCCTTGTAATTAAGTCACAGGCAGGACCCAGTTTCCAGAGAGCAGGCGGGGCCGCCCAGCGGGTCAGGCACAGGGAGCCCCGGTCCGATCTTAGACCCCTGAGCTTCAGGGAGGGGCGGGCGCGTCGCCGCCTCTGGCATCGCCTCCGGTTGCCTTACACCACACCTTCACCTGCAGTCGCCTAGGAAACTTGCTTTCAAACTTCTTCAGGGTTTTTTCCTTCAAATTTTGGACCAAAGTCTCATTTCTGTGTTGTGCTTGCCTCTGATGCTGGGACCCGGCAGGCGGCCGCTCCTGTCCTCACTGTGCTGTCTCCCGCCCCCGCGTCCTGTCCCGGGGGCTCTCCTAGGACCCCCTTTCCATGAAGAGTGTAACAAGGGTGTAAATATTTATAATTTTTTATACCTGTTGTGAGACCCGAGGGCGGCGGCGCGGTTTTTTATGGTGACACAGATGTATATTTTGCTAACAGCAATTCCAGGCTCAGTATTGACCGCGGAGCCACAGGGACCCCACGCACATTCCGTTGCCTTACCCGATGGCTTGTGACGCGGAGAACCGATTAAAACCGTTTGATAAACTCCTCCCTTGTCTAGGCCTGTGTTCGCTGTGGACGCTGTAGAGGCAGGTTGGCCAGTCTGTACCTGGACTTCGAATAAATCTTGTGTATCCTCGCTCCGTCCGCCTTCCGTGCTGTTTCCTCTGTGCTTTGGGCGGTCCCGGCTCGTACCCGGGCTTCCGCGGGAGCGCCAGGTGGGGCCGCGGGCGGGGTGGGCCCGGCGCTGAGGGAGGGTCCCCGCGTGGGGCGTGCGGGCCGGAGCGAATGACCAAGAGCCTGAGCCGGGTTTCCGCCGCTTTATTGAGCACCCCCGCGTCCCCGGCCCGCCCCCGCCCGCCCCCGGCCCCGCCGCGCTAGTCGGGGAAGCGGCGCGCCTGCATCTTGCGGAAGTAGCTCTCGGCCTCGGCCTCCGCCTCGCGCTCCGCCAGCCCCAGGCCGCCCGCGTGGCGCCGCAGCGTGGACTCCCGGCTGCCCGGGCCCAGCGCCCCGTCGGCCGCGCCCAGCGGGGGCAGCCCCTCGCCCGTGGCCAGGTTGACGGTGGCCACGGCCCCGAACCGCGGCTCCTCCTGGTCCACGTCGCTGACCGACGAGCCGGGGGACACGCCCGGGGGCTTGGCCCCGCCGCGGAAGCCGCGCGCCAGGTCCCCCAGCTCGTAGCCGCCGTCGGCCTCCGCCTTGGCCCCGCCGCCCGCCGCCTTCCACTCCCAGGGCGCGCCGCCGGCCGACAGGTGCACCACCGGGTGGTGCGGCGCGTGCGCGTCGATGGTCACGATGCTGGCGGAGTCGCGGTCCGACGGCGACCGGTACTGCGAGGAGTCGGAGCTGGCGCTGGACGACGACGCCGTCTCGGCCGCTTTGGGGACCGGCGCGCCCGGGGCCTTGGACATGGCGATGACCTGCAGCAGCCGCGGAGGGTTGGCCACGGCCGCCCCGCTCTTCTCGGCCATCATGAGCCACTTGGCACGCACCCCGGCGCCGCTTTTGGGGGACAGGCCGGCCCCCGCCTGCGCGCCCTCCTCGGGGATGTGCACCAGCGGCGGCGGCCCCGCGCGCGGCGGGAGGATGACCCGAGGCCCCAGCCCCGGCCGCGCCTGCACGGTGGGGTAGAGCGAGGGCGGGGCCGGGCCCTCCTCCTCGTCCTCTTCCTCCTCCTCCTCCTCCTCTTCCTCCTCCTCCTCCTCTTCCTCCTCCTCCGCCATGGGCTCGGCTGGCGCGCGCAGGTGCCCGGGGCTGGCGTCGTCGGGCAGCCCCAGGCCGCGGCCCTCCAGGCTCTTCTGCTTCCACTCGCTGATGAGCTGCTTGGAGCGCGAGGCGTCCAGTGGCACGTGGATGGTCATGTGGCGGCGCGCGGGGTCGTCCAGCGACGGCGCGCTGGCCCTGGGCAGCGTGTGGCTGAAGGTCACCATGTTCTCCTTGGCCATGGGGCTGCGCGGGGCCAGCAGGTCCACGTCCACGCTGGCGCGCTTCAGGCTGCCCAGTGAGGTCTTCTCGCGGGCCACGGGCCGGGGCGCGCCCTCCAGCCGCCCCGGGGGCCCCAGCTCGTCGGTGCTCACCGACTTGTTCTGCTGATAAACCGAGTCGTGGCCCCGCTGCGTCAGGGCCCGCAGCGCATCCTTGGCGGGGGCCGGGGCCGCGGGCTTCTCTGTAGGTGGGGCCTGGAAGTTGCCCACCGCGTGGCAGGCCTGGCGGGGAGAGGGGTCTCGGGGTGAGGCCTGGGGCTCAGACGGCTCCTACCCTCTAATCGTTGGATTTGCCGTGGGGGGCTTTGGGCCAGGGGAGGGGGGATGGCAAGCCCTTGTCCAGTGGGACCAGTTCCCACCTCAAGGTCGCTGACCTGGCACATCTGGCAGGTCTGAGCCCATGGGATTCTGACTCCAGCATTCCCAGGGTGAGACACTTCAGCACCCATGCCTTCCCCCTAAGACCCCCTGGGCACCCATGCCTCCCCCTCAGACACCCTGGGTACCCATGCCTCCCCCTCAGACACCCTGGGCACCCATGCCTCCCCCGAGGCCCCCTGGGCACCCATGCCTATCCCCTCAGACCACCAGCCTCCCTCCTCAGACCCTCTGGGCCAGCCTTTCCCCTCAGAACCCCTGGGCACCCATGCCTCCCTCCTCAGGCCACCAGCCTCCCCCGTCAGACCCCCTAAGTCTGCCTCCCCCCTCAGAGCCCCTGGGCCAGCCTCCCCACTCAGACCCTGTGGGCACCCATGCCAACCCCCCTCAGAACCTGCCGCTCACCAAGTAGGCAGCGATGCCTGCCCCGATGAGGAAGCCGGCGTACACGTCCACCGGGTGGCTGCGGTACTGCGTGATCTGCGTAAGCCCGCACACGCCCGCAGCAATGGCAAAGGCGAAAACCAGGATGGGTTTCAGCAGCTTGGTGGTGTCCGAGATGACGGAGTTGAAGTACATCTGGGGGCATGGGGGTTGGGGGGTCAAGGAGGGCTCCCCGCGGGCCAGCAAGAGGCCCTGAGCAGGGCAGAGGGGAGCTGGACTCACCGACACGTAGACCGCGGCGAAGGCCGACAGTGTGGCATGCTGCGACGGGAAGGTCTTCCTGTAAGAGGCATCCAGCGTGAGCCCCACCCACCCGGGGACCCCAGCTCCAGTGGCCTCGCTGTGCCTCTGTGTCCCCACATGTTCATGGGGGTGGAAGGGACACAGGGGTGGAAGGGACACGGGGTGGAAGAAGGTTCCCAGCCAGGGGAGTTGGGGGTCCGGCTCACCGTGCAGACAGGATGGCGTGGGTGTCGTGGCCGGAGCAGATGTCCTGCGTGATGTAGGGGTTGACCTCGCAGGACGTGCCCAGGAGCGTGTAGTTGGGCTTACAGACGGTGAGGAAGAAGGGAGTGTGGTAACCCGTGGCCAGCTGGATCACGTCCGTCACCAGGGCTGTGGCGCACAGGCCAAACACGTGGACACCTGTGGGGCGGAAGGCTCGGCCAGGCGGGGAGCTGGGGACCCGGGACAGCCCCAGCCCTGCACGTGGACTCGGCTCAGGGTTGGGGCGCAGCCGGCAACTCACCCACAAACCGCACGGTTCGCCGCAGGAAGGAATTGAAGTTGCAGCCACCGGCGTTGATGCTCCCCTCGGCCCCGGTGGGCCCCCCAGCGCGGCCCCACAGCCGGGACTGCAGACAGTACAACATGCCCTCGGCCACCATGATCTGCCAACAAGGAGGGAGCGCTCAGGCCGCAATGCCCACAGGGAGAGGGCGCTCAGGCAGGCTCCCAGCCGTGGTGCCCACAGGCCGGCCCTCAGGCGGGCTCCCATCTGCGGTGCACACAGGCTGGCACAGGCGGGCTCCCATCTGCGGTGCACACAGGCTGGCACAGGCGGGCTCCCATCTGCGGTGCACACAGGCTGGCACAGGCGGGCTCGCATCTGCGGTGCACACAGGCTGGCACAGGCCCCAGTGTGGGTGCTCACCGAGGCAGCAGGGGCCGCAAAGGCCAAGCTGAGCAGCATCAGCAGCGGGATGAGCTCCTCGTTGGTCTCCACGTAGGGCATGGAGAGAGTGCGGTCATAGCACTGGAAGCCCACGTTGGCCGGCTTGAAGAGGTCGGTCAGCTCCAAGAAGTACAGGGATACGATGGAGGAAGCCACTATGGGCAACTGTGGGCACAAGGCCGGCCAGGTTCACCCTGCTGTCCCTCATGGAGGCGTCTGTCCAGTCCTCCATGAAGTCAGGGCCATCCACAGTCTCACTCACCCACCCACAGATCCAGCTCACTGCCAGCCACTCTTTCCCCCATGAATTATTCATCCATCCACAGATGCTCCATCCATAACGCGACCATCTACACACCACACAGCCACCCACCCATCCACCCAAACACCTATGCCCACAACATCCACCCACTCACCCATCCACCCACTGGGAACCATCCATCCATTCATCTACCCACCCACCCATCATCCATCCCCCCCATCCTCCACCCATGCACCCAACGGTACCTATCCATTTATCCACCCACCCAGCTGTCCATCCATCCATCCATCCATCCATCCATCCATTCATTACCCAGCCACTCATTCATCCATCCATCCATTCATCCATCCATCCATCATCCACCCACGCACCCAACGGTACCCATCCATCTACCCCACCCAACTGTCCATCCATCCATTCATTACCCAGCCATTCATCCATCCATCCATTCATCCATCCATCCATCTACCCACCCAACCAACAGTCCATCTATCCATTCATTGCCCAGCTATTCATTCATCCATCCACCCACCCATCTATCCACCTACCCATCCATCCACCCATCTGTCCATCCACAACAGTCTTGCTCTGTTGCCCAGGCTTCAGTGCAGTGGTGCCATCTCAGCTCACTGCAGCCTCCGCCTCCCGGGTTTTTGTATTTTTAGTAGAGATGGGGTATCGTCACGTTGCCCAGACTGGTCTCGAACTCCTGGGCTCAAGTGATACACCCGCCTTGGCCTCCCAAAGTGCTGGGACCAGAGGCATGAGCCATCGCAGCCAGCCATGGCCTCAATCCTTTTTTCTTCCCCCGACTCTGTCACGCAGCCTGGAGAGCAGTGGTGCAATCTTGGCTCACTGCAACCTCCGCCTCCAGGTTCAAGCGATCCTCCCACCTCAGCCTTCCAAGTAGCTGGGATTACAAGCATGCACTATCACGTCTGGCTAATTTTTTGTATTTTTAGTAGAGGCGGGGTTTCCCCATGTTGCCCAGGCTGGTCTTGAACTTCTGACCTCAAGTAATCCACCTGCCTCGGCCTCCTGAATTGCTGGGGTTACAGGCGTGAGTGACCTCTCTCGGGCATTGCCCCAATCGTAATTCCTGCTTTGTTGTGGCATCTTAGCAGGGGATCAGCCCTCAGCCCAGCCCTGGGGAGGGCACAGGTCAGGGCTGGGCGCTTCAGGAAGGGAAAAGCCATCACTGAACATCCCAGGGTGGAATTGGGTGGAGGGAGCTGAGTTCATGTCCCGTGAGCATTCATTGAGCACCTGCTGCATGCAGGCATGAGGCCCGGGGCAGACGTGGAAAGTGGGGAGCACCGTTTGTTTGCACCTGACACCTGGTTTGAAAACCACCCACTTTAACCTGTGGGCGGCCAGCAGACCCCCCTGTGCCAAGGGCTCAGGTGGAGATGAGTCAATGTGGGAAGAGGCCCCTGGCAATTATGCACTTGTTCTCTCCACTCTCATCATCAGCATGATTTTGCTGGGGCGGGCAGACAGTATCAAGCCCGGGGAGGGTTTGAGGGGGAGCCTGGGCGTGGCCTTAAAAATACCTAACCGGCCGGGCGCGGTGGCTCACGCCTGTAATCCCAGCACTTTGGGAGGCCGAGGTGGGCGGATCACCTGAGATCAGGAGTTTGAGACCAGCCTGGCCAACATGGTGAAACCCTGTCTCTACTAAAAATGCAAAAATTAGCCCAGCGTGGTGGTGCATGCCTGTAATCCCAGCTACTCGGGAGGCTGAGGTGGGAGAATTTATTGAGGTCGAAAGGTGGCGGTGGCAGTGAGCTGAGATTGTGCCAGTGCACTCCAGCTTGGGCAAGAGAGCAAGACTCCATCTCAAAAAATAATAGTAATAAATAAAATAATAATAATAATGAAGGCCGACACAGTGACTCACACCTGTAATTCCAGTGCTTTGGGAGGCCAAGGCAGGAAGATCTCAGGCCTCCCGAGTAACGGGCTGGGACTGACAGGCGCCCGCCCACCGGTCGCGCTGGCTAGTTTTTGGGTTGTATTTTCTATAAGAGTACGGGGGTTTCACCGTTGTTAGCCCAGGATGGGTCCGATCCTCCTGACCTGCGTGATCCCGCCGCGTCTCGGCCTCCCAAAGTGCTGGATTACAGGCGTGAGCCACAGTGCCACCTAAGTTGTTGTATTTTTAATGGTGAGGGGAGCGGGTTTTTCACCATGTTGGCCAGGCCTGGTCTTTGAACTCCTGACCTCAGGTGATCCGCCCCACGCTTGGCCTCGCCAAAGCGCTCTTGGGATTACAGGCTGAGCGCACAGTGCCCAGCCTAATTTGTTGTATTTTTAATGGAGACGAGTTTTCACCATGTTGGCCAGGCTGGTCTTGATCCCCTGACCTCAGATGATCCAGGGGCCCTGCCTCAGGCCTCCCAAGAGTGCTAGGGATTACAGGCGTGAGCCACAGTGCCCAGCCTAATTGTATTTTTAATGGAGACGGGGTTTTTCACCATGTTGGCGCAGGGCTGTCTTGAACTCGCTGACCTCAGGTGAAAATCCGCCCACCTTGGCCTCCCAAAGCGCGGGGCGTGGGATTTACGATGCGTGATGCCACAGTGCCCAGCGCCTAAATGTTTATTTTCAATGGAGGGACGAGGCTTTCACCATGTTGGCCAGGCTGGTTCTTGAACTCCTGACCCTCAGTGATCGCCCACCTTTGGCTCCCCAAAGCGCGTGGGATTTTACAGGCCGTGAGCCACGTGCCCACCTAAATACTTGTTGTATTTTTAATGGAGACAGTTTTTTCACGCATTTTGGCTAGGCTGTCTTAGATCTCCTGGACCATCAGGGTGATCTGCGCCCACCCTTGCCCGCCAAAGTCGGCTGGGATTACAGGGCGTGAAGCCAGCAGTGCCAAAGCCTACATGTTGTAGTTTTAATGGGACGGGACAGGTTTTCACCATTTTTGGCGTAGA